GGTACGTAACTATTTTGAAGGAATGCAAAAATCCTAAGAATTCTTCAGTTGCCAACTAAATAGTGTAATATCTTGATGAAATGTGTCTAAGTCAAAGATGTACGTGTTGTAGATGGTGTGATCGTGTGTACATTTTTTTGTGATATCTATCATGAAATGATGTGCATTCCTTTTCATTCATATTTATTTGTTACTTATTCATATTTTTTGTGTTTGATTACATTTTTTCTATTAGATATGATCTTTTTTTTTAAAGTACAATTTTAGATAAACATTTTTAATCAGAAAGTAGCCCAAAACAGTCATTTAATAATTATAAATCCCGTGTAAGTGCAAAAAGGTCAAGAATATTAGCATCGGTAAATAATAAAAATAAATAAATCTCTCATTAGTTAGAGGTGAAAGGTATATATTTTAATCACTTTTTGTAATCATTTGGGTATGTTCTTCATCATATTAAAGTTCGAAAACATTGTGACAAAGACTTCTGAAAAATATTTACAAATGTAGGGTGGACCATTGAGTACAAAAATAGAGTTCATTTGCCTATTTGTTTTTAAATGTGGGTCTATCTTTTATGTCAATTGAATAAAAAAGAATTATTCTTGAGAAATATTGCTTAATATTGTTCAGTTAATAAAATCTTTAAATGACGATGTTTGAAGAGGTATTTTTGTGATTTTTCATAGTCTCTTCTTGACAAGCCCCTAAAAATAACTGAAAATGTGTTGTCGCAGTATGTAATTACCATTCACAGTTTCACAGGCTGTACTACATTTAAAAACAAGGAAACATGTCGTAAGCTTTTAACTGATTGATAAGCAAGCAATAATTTATCATTTTGAAAATCTTGTGACAAAAACTTTTCCGACATAGGTTCTACCTTAAAAAAATTTACCTTGATAATAATTTTTGATTAGTTTGTGATAAGGCTGCCGCTATATTTTTCTTTATTGGAATTAATTATTTAATCTCTTGGCCTTTTAGTTGACTTGCATATGAGAGACTTTAATCTTCGGCATGAACTGCTATACCGGGGTATAAGTATTTAAAAAAATATCGCGGCTTTCTGTTTTTGTTTCTTTTTGTTTGAATTTTTCGTCTGTTGTATTTGGTGTAGTTGTTGTTTACTTTTTATACCCGCACTTAGTGAAGAAGTTGGGGTAAATTAATGTTGCTACCCTGGTCCGTCCATCTGTCCGTCTTTTACACATTTTCTTTTAATCAGCAAACGATTCATCTTTTGAAATATAATGGGGGTCTACTGCACAGGTGCAATAAGGTTTTCGAATTTAAAATTTAAAAAAAAATGTTTTACTTCAATAACCTGGTTCACTCTTCTTTCTATTACCCTATAGCTTAATCATCTTTTGAAATATGATTGGATGTTTCCTGTAGATATGCTATAAGTTATTTTCATTTTCACCTTGTGCGTGAAATGGAGTCCAAAATGACGTTTTCCCTAAATAAGTCCGCTTACATTTCATGCAGTAACCAAATTAACGTTAGGAAGAGAATTGATGGTGTCCTGTAAATGTACAATAAAGTTAATTTTGTAATTATTCTGTAATTCTGTAAATTCGCAATTCTGTTTTATTCACCCTAGGGTCGAAAAAGGGGTCATAAAACGAAGCTTTCTACCTAAAAACTCCCAGGCTTCTGAAAACTCTAAACATGCACATAACATTTGAATGGCTGAAGCTAGTGCTTTTATGTTAGACATGTGTGTTCCTATGACAATAACTTCCCTAGGGTACCACTTCTTTTGATATTTCTACTTTGACTTGAGTCTGACCTACTCTTTTTATTCTTGTCCTTGCAATAACTTAGGTACCAGCATTTTTTATCTTGATCTTGGAGTGTGGCCTACTTTTGAAGAATTTTCACTTTTATCAGAAAATTTTAACTGTAAGTGTTTGTGCTTTTATATTTTACAAGTGTACTTTTAGTGACAAAACCTTCCTTTGACTTTAACCTAATTTTGAAAAAAAAAAATCTTGCACGAACGCTTGATGGCTTCTTCACTGGTTACCTAATCATGAAAAAGCAAATATCTAAGTGCGGGTTTTATAGATATAAAAGCAACTATTTTTTTGTTTGAACGTCGTATCAAAAACTGAATCATTTATAATATTCATATTTTAGATGACAATGTTTCATAACAATGAGGAAGAGCATGCGTCTTGTTTGGAAGAAATGAGGAAACTTTCTTCGTTCTCTCTAGAGACAGAAATTCAATCCATCAATCAACAAAAAATTGAGGAAAGATTAAAAAAGTTTGTATAAGACATAGAATATGGATATGACACAATTGAGGAAACCATTTGTTTTCACAATTTTGTTTCATATCTATACTGGAAAAGCGACGAAAGAAAAAAGGCCATGGAGTTTGCTACAAGGGCCCTTGAACTGGGAAGAGAGATCTCATCGCTAGGAGCGACAGATAATATAGTAAATATATGTAATTTTTATTACTTTTATGAAGGAATTGGAGAAGTGGTTCAGTCCAGGGAGTTTCTTAGACAGTTTAAAGAATTGTCCAAAGTAGATGATTTCCAACATCTAGAATATATTGCAAAGGCAGAATTAGCAGTGTGTATTTCAAAGCTTGGTCCATTCTGTGCAACGAAAGCTATTGAAATGTTTCGTGAATCTGTTGACAAAATGTCTACATTTGTAGATTGCTGGCAGTTTTATTTTGCATTGACACTACGAAGAAAAACACATTTACTTGCCATTCAGAATAGGTCGGATGCAGAGTTAGTAAGTAAGGATAGGGAAGCGTTTGATATACTCATGGAAGTTATTGAAAAAACTTCTTCAAAAGCCTTGAAAGCCAGATCATTTACTGAAGTTGGAGTAATAGTTTACAATAATCGAGACGAATACAAAAACATGAATTACATGGAATTCTTTGAAAAGGCAATAGCAGTCAACCCCAAATCAATCCACGCACTCCAGCGCTATGGACAACATTTAAGATATCAAAAAAATTATCCGCTATCTATAGAAATGCTTGAAAAATCATTGAACATTCGAGAGACACCCACTGCTTATCATCATCTTGGTCTCACTTATCACAACATGGTCGTACAAGAACATATTAAAAAAAAGAAAGAAAATCTCTCAAATCGAAAAAATATGAGGAGACAAAAATCTTTTGATGTTAGAAAACCAAATAGGAAGGAAAACTGCAAAAAACAAATTGAAGAAACGACTCAAGATTTGGGACAAATAAGGGCAAAGATGAAAGCAGTTAGATATGTAGCGCAATATCCAGGAGATGGCCGTCTGCTGATTGCTGAACAAAATCTAGAAAAGGCTTTGTTTATGGATGCCTCTTTTGATAAAGCACGTTATGACTTAGGACTCGTTCAAAGAATGCTTGGAAAAGGTAATGAAGCACTGAAAAATTTTAGGGATATAACAAACAGTTACAAAGGGAAATCAAGTAATCAGATTCTACTCCTTTTTGCATACGAGCAACAGGCATTTTGTAGATTGGATTTTTTCAAAACTAGTAAGAGTGAAAAGGATATAATCAATGCAGTAGATGCTTTCAATAGAGCTTTGGATATTTTGTCTTTGTATATAGACGTTCTTCCAGAACTGAAAAATGTGTCTTCTTGCATTGAGATTTTAGAAGAAAAAATGAACGAATATGAATGTCTGTACTCGGGAGAAGGCAGAAAAGACTTTGCTCGTTTATATGAAAAGTCAAGGCAATACAAAAAAGCATACGAGCTTTACGCGACATGTGAGCCTAAGACTGCAGCAGTTTATCAAAAGATGGTTGAAAATTTGAAAGCTGATGGAGATTATGAAAGTGCCATCGGCATATTAAATAAACTAATTACAGACAAAGACTCGAATATACCTTCTAGAAAATTCTTATTTCGGATGTATATGGATGGAGCCCTGCAATCATTACAAAATAGAAATTTTGAGGAAACGAAAATGAGGTTCCTGCAATGCCGAAAATGCATACCAGCCTGGGAAATGCGTACTGAGAACTGCTGTGGTGAAGATAACATGCTAGATTTCCACATTCTGCATATTTGTGAGGAAAGCTGTCCACTTGCAGAGAAGTTATTACATGTACTGTCACAGTCCAATTTCATAAAATGGAACGTTACTAAGAATGTCGATGATTGTATACCAGGACATACAATTACAAAATATCTCAAAGATGTTATCAAAAGAGCAAAATTCATTCTCCTCTTTTACCATGAGAAACAGTTGGACTGTGATGATAATAATGGCGAGTTCCTTAAAATGGAGCATGAAAATCTCAGCATAAATAAGGAAAAAGATGTGCTAAACATCATTCTAGGTGATGCAGAACAACCATCTACTCTTCACCCAACTCTCGTCCTCCCGAATGACTTTGCCACTGCAAAAGCAGACGACAAAGAAGACCAGAAGATGCATGCCTTTGACGGTCGCCTGACAATGGATATTCTTATGAAGACATTTGCACTCCAAGAGAGTAAGGTAAGATCTGCTGATATGCGAGTTTTCCCCATAAAAGTTATTTTTTTTATTATTTCATAAACAATCTGAAAAATAATTCATTTTCGGGAAATTATTTTTTCTTCAATTTTACAAAATGCTTAATGTTTCAATATCATATGCATATTTCAAATACAGATGAATGTGCATGATTATTACTCCTAAAAATCCAGTTACATAAGAAATACAATGTCAAACTTTATGTTCTGTCAGAAAAAAATAATATATTTGCTTTTGTGTTTTAGTTCACTTTTTTTTCAAATTATATTGCCATTGTAACAATCATGTATTTTTTCCTAGAAAATTACAGATGTTTCCAGTTAATGCTTCCTTGGGTTTGGACTTTAGACGAACGGAGAATTTTCGAAAAGAGTGGAGTATATAAGTGCTAGGTGTAATTAGTTGTTGATGCATAAAGACATTTTATTAATTAAAAATACTCAGCTTTAATTCCTACTTTGATTTGATATATCCAATCGATCTATTAAATATATAATTTCCTTACTTTCTTCACTTACTCTTTTCTTTACAAAGAGCATTTGTTTCAATTGTTGGTGTTTTATAGAGAAAAGCGTAGATGGCAAACCAATTGCAACAACTAAATTTATTTCCTTACGTTTCTTATAATTGATGTAATAAAAATATAGAATCATAAATTGCATATTGAGTTTATACCCCCATGTTCTACCTCCGAAAAATTTTAAACCGTGGTTATCAAAGGTGTCAAATTTTTAGCTTGATTTCTTGTCGTTTGTTATCTTTATATTCTGACAATTTTAGGAATTGAAGCAGTTGACTTCAAGTTGTCTTTACTTTAATTCACCTACAATTGATATAGTCCTATGTCAAGTTGACTTCCAAGATACAACTCATGTGCAAAATTTTTAAACACTAAAAAATTAAAAATTGAATTATTTTCAGAATCCCAAACTAGTGCTTTTCAACTTACTTGAGTATATACTGTCAATATGATTTGGAGTAGAAACACACGTGTACAATTAATGAAATTTCAAACTGAAGAAAAAAATACATAAACTGGAGAATCTGTCAAAACTAGAGGGGTTTGATAAGCCAACCTGGTTTTGTAAAAAAAAAAAAAAACTATATTAATTTAATTTTTAAGACTGTAAAAAAACCCCTGAATAATAGTTTATTCATAGTTTAAAAAACATGCATTTTATCACGAAAAGAATATAACTGATCAGACCGTAACTATGCAGTTTTCTGTTGTTGGTACGTAACTACATTGTACTGTGACCTTGTGACTTCACTAGTTGCACGGACTACCCGATCTCTGAGGTACTCTCTATTGATTACCTATGTATTGTGTGCGTTCAAGCGGAAAGTGATTTCTTGTTATGTAGTTGATGTATATTTCACAATTGTACAAACAAGGATGTCTATTAGAGTCTTATCAATGCAACAAAATGATAAAATGACACTTGTAAAAAAAAAAATTCAATGAGCAGGGGGGGTTTCCCGACCCCCCCCCCCCCCCCACCTTCTGAATCCGCCACTGTGTACACATTGTATGATAGGTCCTTTGCAATAGTAGCAAACTTGGCTAACAAATTTTCTTGGTTTTTGCGATTAATAACATCTTTAAAAATCTATGTAATGAAATTTTGAAAAGGCAAAATATTTATGTCTTTTTTTCTTATCGTTGATTGGTTTATTTTCATATTCATTTTTAATTGTATTGAAATTAACTTGAATCAACATCAGTACAGCATATAAGTTTCCTCGTCAAGGAGCGGAAGAATAAGAAAACGTTCATTGATAAATTAAAATCTAAAAATTCTTTCAAGAGCCTCCTTTTACGCTCACAGTTGTACAACAGTTTTTGAGAAAGCGCGCTTATCTGAAGAATTGCATGGTGAATAATTCAATGAATACTTTTTAATCTTACTGGGGACTTAGACAGCTATCACAGAGAACAGGATGACCTATGCATATTCCACCATTTTCTTAATCTAAACAAAATTCCCAGATTGCAATCAACTTAGCAATTATCAGGTAAAGATCAAGTCTTAATAAGAAAGCATCATCTTTCTTTAATTTCAATGAACATTCAACGAACATAGAGGAATTGAAATTAATAATATACGAGGGGTTATTAAAAAGTTCGTGGACTAGCGCCATAAAATTAAAACCGCTTTAGGTACATCAATGAATTTTAAAATATCTGGTTAGCATCATCTTTTCTATCTAAATAATAAACCATCAATCATATATTTTATTTTTTATTAAATTAGTAATGTTTTTGCAAGCAATGGTATGTCCAGGCGGCGCAACCTCGAACCCGACGTTTTTCCGACCTCTGAGTAACTGAGAAAAACTCTTTTGATATGAATATTTGACATCCAAAATTCCCATTAATTCAGGTATGTGTCAGGACACAATTGTTCCATAAAATATGAAATTTTCACTTCATTCTGGAATTTCTATGAAATTTTATAGCAAATTTTACATGGAATATCCAAACAAACAAGGCCTTGAAAATGACGTCAAAAGGGGGAGGGGTTTCCTTTTCCAACATTCTATAAAGTTTTGCCCCTGAAAAAACTTGTATGGACCTAAAAAATATTTAAGGCCAGACGACACGTTCCTCAAAAATATATAATTTTTCCTGAGAATTTGTCATAGAAGGTTAGGTACTTAAACAAGTTTCCTAAAAAAAAATTAGGTTACCTTACCAGGCATTTGGCCAAGATACCATAGGGTCATATTTCTTATATAACCCTTATGGGTAATCTTCTAAATGGCCTATAACACAATTTTTGGTGTAGTTATATTTAAAAACATTTTGAAAACAACGTAGAAATCAGAAGAGAATGACAATTATGAAAAAAAATTATTTAATACCAAGAGATACAAAACATATATTTGAGGAACGTGTCGTCTGACCTTAAATTGGCTTCAGAGAAATAATATGCATCCAGAGTACTTGTATTTAATGTCAAAATAGATTCAGAGTGAAAAGGGATGCACAGTTAATGTCGATTTGTAGTCAAGGTGTGAAAAACCAATCACGTCAAAAAATGACGTTGATCATCTGTTGTAGATATTGAACTCCCAAAAGCAAAATATGCTGGCACAATCAAGCGAGGATCTCTCCCAGTGTATAAATCCATTTGAAATATTATATTCATTGAAAGCCGCTGTTAATGACATTGTAAAGTCATATAAGCAAGGCGGGTTTTAGTCCCCACTCGGCTCCAGGGAATCTCATAAAAAAAAGTGTATGAGGTAGAAGAGGCAGACATTGAAAAAAACAATGACGTTGTCGGACGTCATGAAAATAAACGACGGCAGTGCCGGGTGAACATACATTGTCGTTTTTATTTTATAGTAATTTGGCAAATAATGAACGTATCAGGCTAAAATTTTCAACATTTCTTTATTTTTTGTTGTTTAATGTTCTATATAAATTTTGAAAGCACAGACTACATAGTACTAATTTTATAGCCTCAGTCCACGAACTTTTTGATAACCCCTCGTATATTTATCGTAATTGATAAGAAAGAATTAAAAATACTTTCAAAATACCCTAAAACTTTGAAAGTAAGCGCGGCTGATTTAAAGTTTTGGTAAGAAAGTGGGATCTTATTTTCAAATCCGTCCTTTTTCTGTGTTGAGGGACTCTCTGTTGATTTGATACGACCTAGTATGATCAATGTAGTAAAAATTAATTTCCGGAAAAAAAAAACCTTTGAAAGTTGGTAAAACAATATTAGCAGTAGATTTAATTATTTTGCAAAAAATATATGGTTGATACAATAACTTTGTCAGCAAAATCTATCATTTATTTAATCTACTGCGTACAAGCGCTTTTCATATATATTGTTAGGTCATTATCTTTACAGGGAATTTTCAAGGACTTTTTTTCCGTTTACTCGATTATCATGTAAGTAAATAAACCCCGACAAAAATGTATTATTATTTTACAAAGAAGTTGCAAATAAATCAGTAGTTACTTAATTTGACTTGGCTGTTTTGTATATTTGCAGAACGGTTACAAAGTGTAATGACATAACGTTTCTGTTTCACTGTTTTATAAGGATTGTCTGCAATTTGTATTATTTCATAAACACGTTTCTTTTAATGATCAAATTTAATATTTATTAGGAAGAAATAATCTTGAAATAGGAAAAATAGTTTTATGTAGTTCTCAACCATATGACATCATTATTTCCCGATCATGACAAGGAGCACACGGTGGGTGTGACCGGTCGGCAAAGGATGCTCACTCCTCCATGGCATCTGATCCCACCTCTGATATTTTGGAGGTCCGTGTTTGCTCTGCTCCAATTTTGTATTTTTTATGGACTTTTGATCTTGAATACTGTTCGTTATCTCCATATATTTCATCATATGGCCATCTCAACCCTGGTGATAATTATCAACTGCTGCAGTGAAACAAGGGGAGGGTGTGAGATGGCTCATTAATTTTAGGATTTTAATACAAGATAAACGGAGATAAAAATCAAACAAATATAATTTATACACATCATCAATACGTTTCTTTTTTTCAATAAATGATGGTTCAAATAGAGAGTACAAATACACACAACAAAGGTAAATGATACTCAGAATTTTTATGCAGGTTTCGAACCCCAGGAACACCACATTTTTATGTAAAAAAATTTACCGAGAAAAATTTTAATTAAAAAGTTTGATTTTCATAGCCGCAAACATTTCAATACTGAGAACTTTGTTATAAATATTCAATTCACAGATTTAATTTTATCTAATATATCTCAAGCCAGATTTTTTTAGGGCATTCTTTGCGCTTTCTTCGCCAATTTCCTTCACATTTAATTGTCGTTACGTTTTTCTTGGCAACTAACAAATACACTAATTTTATGAGTTCTCTACAATTCCTTTAAGAATTGTGTTTCTTTGATACACGTTTAGGTTTGATTCGGTATTAAAAAAACGTTTTTCATTCTTTCTTGTTTATCAATCAGTCACTCCGTGATTTAGATGAATTCATCCAGAAAAGCTATCCAAATCCTTGTTTTTAGAATACAAAATTGATTTAAAGTTTAGACCCAAAACCGAGGATTTGTCAATTTTCAAAAGAAAAAAATACACGTATGCATTTGACTGAATTTTCATATTAAATGAAATAATCTGACTGATTGAAATATGCAAAGCGCTTCCAATCAAATACATGTATTCAACAGTTTAAGTTACATTCTTTATGGAGGAACTATTATAAGCTCTACAGCAGAGCTGACTCTTAAGATACAAAAAATATATATGTTATACTTACTTTCACTTCTAAATATATACAGGCTTTTTGTGCATATTCACCAGCATGCATGTATAATTATACTCTAGAATTTTGGAAAACAACCAAGCTTGACCTCTATCATAATTATAAACATGTATATTATGTATTGTTACCAGCCATGTTCATGAATTTTCTAAATAAACTATACAAGGTAAATTCTATATCGTAACAAGAATTTTTTATTTCTTTTCCACGGATTTTTATGCTCCGCAAACGAAGTTTCGGGGATATATAGTTTTTGTTTTGTCCATCTGTCTATCTATAGGTCTGTT